GCTGAATTCTGAGGAGCACTGCAGATTTCAAAAGGAACCCAGCAAGAAAACTCGTGCATGTGCTTATCTGTGCTCTGTGTGCGTGTCCTGTGGAGCAGTGCCCCAGAGGGTCAATCTGAGCTTGTGTGGGAGCAGCTGGTCAAAGCTCTTGAGATGAGGACTGCGGAGAAACCTCTTTCTAAGGCAGGAGGAAGCTTCACAGACAGGCCTCAGAGAACAGCTAACCTGCCCTGCCTTTGCAGCTTTGGCTTTGCTTACAGAAATCATTAAGGCAAGTATGTGTAGTGTGTAAACGTGCTGCTTCTGCCCTGAGATGACCTACCATAACACCCCTCGGAGTGTCCTTCTCTCCCTTTACATTTGTGCTTTCCTTTACCTTAATCATGGAATCCCAGGCTGGTTTGTGTTGGAAGGGACCTTAAAGCTCCTCCAGTCCCAACCCCTGCCACAGGCAGGGACACCTTCCACTAGAGCAGCTTGCTCCAAGCCCCTGTGTCCAACCTGGCCTTGAACACTGCCAGGGATGGGGCAGCCACAGCTTCTCTGGGCACCCTGTGCCCGCGCCTCAGCACCCTCACAGCAAAGAGCTTCTGCCTAAGAGCTCATCTCAGTCTCCCCTCGGGCAGGTTAAAGCCATTCCCCTTGGCCTGTCCCTACAGGCCCTTGTCCCAAGCCCCTCTCCAGCTTTCCTGCAGCCCCTTCAGGCACTGGAGCTGCTCTAAGCTCTCCCCTTAAGGAGCCTTCTGGCATATTATATGAAGCTGGGGATGTAGGTCATATTAGGCAAGGCTGAACAAGTAGAAGAAAAGTTTAGTAAGCAAAAGAAAATCATCTGTTTTTCTGTGCATGAAAACTGCTTGGAAGAGAAGACCCTGCACCCTTTTGGTGCAGTGCTGAGCAGTTAACCAAGGTCAAGCCATCTGGGCTTTGTCTCTGTCACTGACTTGTGGAGCATATTTAAAGCAGACCTGCTAATTTTCTTGTGTTATTAGTTGATTTTGTTGTGTTTGAAGGGATTCATGTTCCTCAACAATAAAATCAATGCTAATAAACTCTTTGTAGAGAGAGCAGCAAGCTTTTATTAACCTTAATCATCTGTAAACCAGCCAGATCCACTGTTTTGAAGTCTAGAGACAATGTCAAGCTTGCTTATCGAACTGATGCTTTGAGATCTGTCATTGGAAGTTCCCCCTGTTTCAATGCATGAATAATACAGAATCTAGCTTTTCCATGGATGTTTCTTTAATGGGTTATTCAAAGAACTGACAGACTTGGCTGTTTCACAAAGATCTGCAGAGCAATGATCTTCTTCTCATTAACATCTGCAGATTTTATGGCATGGGAGTAAGATTGTTTCCGTATACTTCCTTAGCAGCAGCTGAGCTGAATGTGGCCTTTCTCTTCATAATTTGGTAGGATACATCTGTTTTCAGCCAAAAACAGGATATGGAAAGCCATATGGAAAGGAGGAGAAAAAAAAACAACCAGATTTGCCTTAAGCTTTGGTCCAAGTCTTGTGTCATTTCTTACTTTGTCTGAGCTGGTTTGCCTGTTAGCAGTAATAAGGACAGCTGGCCAGGAGAGGTGAAACAGCACGGCCCGGAAAACCTTATTTTATTGGTCTCTTTTCCTCAATTTTAGATCTTATTAGAAGTCAGGTCGGAAGAAAAGGATTCTGAATGTTTGCACGTCGTGTCTTCTCTATAGAGCTTGTCATAAACATCCTAAAGTTTGTGAAACAGCTGCAAAACCACCTAGGACAGAGGTAGGAAAAAAAAACAGTAATCAAGCAATAAAAACCAATCTGATTTTCAGTTCTACACCTGAGTCAGCTCTGGGTCAAGCTGCTTTACCCATCCCTCTGGGCAGCATGAGGTCTCCCCATGCTTCTGCATGGCTGTGCAGAAGTTGCCAGATCCTTTGTGCTTGCTGCTGGGCTGGACAGGATTGCCGGGAAGGCAATGAGCTGTGTAATTTATGTTGGAATGTCAGCATCTGAACAGGCGTAAAATTACACCTTGTTATCACGGGGTGGGGAGCAGGGGCTTGGGTTTCTTGGACAGTCGTGGTCATCTTTCAGTGAGGCTGCTGTTGGGGACACCTGGAAAGCTTTACCTGGTGCAGTGGGGCTGTTATTTCAACACAAGAAGCCAGCGAGGAATGTGCTGTCCTTGCTGTCCTTGCTCCCAAAAGGACTGGCTAGTCTTTCACTTCCCAAACGCAGCTGTTGTGTTGGATTTATTGTGCCTAGCTTGGAAATTGTATGTGTGAGACAGCCAGCACTTCTCATGACAGGGAATTCTGCTGATCCTTCTTCCAGCTCCGGCTGAAGGGGTGGTGGTACACTCAAAACAGGGGAGAAACTAATTCCAGGTAGATTTTGTGTTCAACTTCCCTTCAAAAGCAGGGATGTACTTGGCGAAACAGCGCCCGGTTGCTGCTGCTCATGGTAGCTGGTGCTCACACTGGGATGTGGGAGCTGGTGTTGGGATGCAGGAACTGATGTTGGGATGCAGGAGCTGGTGCTTGCACCAGGATGCAGGAGCTGGTGCTTGCACCGGGATGCAGGAGCTGGTGCTTGCACTGGGATGTGGGAGCTGGTGCTGGGATGTAGGAGCTGGTGCTGGGATGCCGGAGCCTGCAGTCAGATGCTGGAGCAGGACAGCCCCATGTTGGGGGTGAGGAGGGTTGTAAGGAGGGTTGTAAAGCATTCACTTTGTGGGACATATTGTTCCTCTGGAGGCACAGCCTGACCTTTGCTGGGACCTGCCTTGGGGGGCTGAGTGGAGTGGCTATGAAATAGCGATCCCAAAAAAACCTGGGAGAGGTGGAAGGATACTAAGGGGCTGCAAGCACAGGGGTCAGGCCCACAGCAAGTCCATCCTGCAGCCTCAGCCCTGCCTGGCACAGATTTGGGATGTGCTTCATTGGAAACTGTAAATAAACCTGTTCCACCCCCTTTGCCTAATACACATCCAAATTCTTAACTAGGGGAGCTGTGCAGGGGTGCATGCTGATGTGCCAGGAGGTGTGGAGTCAGCTTCAACATGTGCAGTGTGATGCATTTGGGAGCCTACATTTGCTATAGATGCCCACAGGGGATGCCCATGGATCCTGTTCCTCCTCTCTTGTGAGCTTATATTCTTTCCACTTTTCCATATATGGAGTAGCTGGATGTGAAAACTTCACTGTTTTTCTCGTATAGGGAAAGGGACCAGACCCTGCTTGTCTTTGCAGGAGAATTACCCTGCAAGAGGCACCAGCCCTTGTGCTGCAGTCATACCCAAGGGGCAAAAAAATGAGTCCCAGATGTCTGGAATGGCTTCTGGGATTAGAGTCCTCCCTCCTTTGCACTGTGTGGAAGGTAAACCCACAGGAACACATCAGAATAAACCTCCAGCTCTGGGGTGCAGAATAACTGGGGGTCCTACAGGTACCAAACAGCCTCCCCCTCGCTCTGCTGTATCTACGAAGGTTGTTTTCCTCACAGCGACCCATTGCTGGGCTAACTAAGCAATTTCATGTAAATCTTGCACAGCTAGAAGGTATTTACTTTGTTTGCAAAGTCCTTCTGCTGCTGCTGGATTTGTGCCACCAATTTATGTCAGGCATAGGAAGAGCACTGTGAGAGTTTTCCTTTAATTTAATGGTGTGGCTCCTAGAAAAAGCAAGGAAACCCCAGTTAGTGATGAGATTTGGGTAAGTTTTCTTTAAAGTATTCACCAGTGGGCTGGCTACTGAAGCCAGGCAAAGGAGAAGCATTTCAGGGTGGGAAAAATGACATTTGAAAAGCAGGAAGGGAAAGCATTAACACAGTAAATCAACAAAGGAGAAGGAGTTTGTCCCAACTTGCCCTGGCTAGCCTGGCACAGCAGCAATGGTCTTTCCAGAGTCCCCTGTGCTCCCTGCAGCAGCCATAGAGTGTAAGTAACGTAACATCTTGTTTTCTCCCAGCCAAAAGCAGTAGTGGTATTGCTGTGGCTGAAAGGAAACAGGGTGGGAAGGAATGGTTAACATATTTAGTAGAATTCCCCTGCTGAACATGTCTTACAGGCATGGTGCGGAAGGGGCAGATAGGGTCCCAGACTGGTTTGTGTTGGAAGGGACCCTAAAGCTCATCCAGCTCCAACCCCTGCCACAGGCAGGGACCCCTTCCACTAGAGCAGCTTGCTCCAAGCCCCTGTGTCCAACCTGGCCTTGAACACTGCCAGGGATGGGGCAGCCACAGCTTCTCTGGGCACCCTGTGCCAGCGCCTCAGCACCCTCACAGGGAAGAGCTTCTGCCTAAAAGCTCATCTCAGCGTCCATAGAAGGCCCCTCTGATGTTACCCAGACAGGGATTTTTATCTTGTGAAATTCCCTGTGCCAAAAAACAGATGATCCCTTGGGCACTGGTGAAATCATGTCCTCGCTGCTAGGCTAAAGCTCAGAATAAACCTCCAATGTTGTATGATGGACAGCTCAGGAGCTACAGACAACATGGGAGTAGATACGGAGTGACTTTACTCCACTCCTGAAGGCACATTGTAGTGTATGGATGGAGAGAACAAGCCTACTTTGGCCACACAGCCTGCAGAGGATGTGGCAGGAGGGTGCTGGATAAGGGCACCTACCTGGCTGCTGCTCTGCCATTGTGTTCTCATTCCTGCAGGAGAGGGACAAGACTGCCAGGGGCTCTTGTTCTGGCAAGGCACGTGTAAGCTTGTGGTAGATCAACAATGATATTTCAAAGATTTTTATGAAGCCCTTTATTTTTTGTCTTAAGGCTTAATAAAAACTGTTACTCGAAACTAAAACTTTACATATATACAATACAAGAAATAAATTATGTTTTAAGTCATACAAAAACCACAATATACAAACAGGGCTTTAAAATCACTCTAAACATGGCACGGTGACAAGTCACAGATACCAAAGGCTTCAGTTATTGAAGCCTTTGCACAATACCATGGAAAAAAAAAAAAGCAAAACCCAAAAAGAAAAACCAAACCAAAACAACCCAACCCAATCAACCAAAAAAAAAAAAAAAAGGAAAAAAGGAAAAGAAAAAGAAACAGAAATATCTCCAATGTGCTTGCTTTGGTTGGATTGAAGCTCTACAAAATCTCGGAGAATTGCAGGCCTCAGAAGGACTTGTTAAGTCTTCAGATCTGGCAACACCACTCTTCGAGACAGCATTTCTGCACGCCGAAATTCAAGAGTCATTCCACCGAGTCTCCTTCCCAAAAGCAGATAATAATGTAGTTCACCTCTGGCAAGGTCCACTCTGCTGTAGCAAGCAGGACAGCTTCAGTCTGCCCAGCTCAGAGCAAAGCCAAGTTCACCTGGTACCAGGGAATCCAACCGGGATCTGCCATTAGGCAATGGGGGTAGGATGTTGTCTGTTTGGCTCAGTTGAGTAATTCAGCGAAAGATAAGGTCTTAACTGTGCACTGGTACCAGAGCAGCACCAGGACAGAGGTGAATGTGTTCTCAGTAGTTAAAGGGACTGGTGCAAAGCTCTTCTGAAGCAATCACGGTTCATTACCTTCCTCCTCCCTTACAGTCAGTGGTGAGGCAGCTGCTTTTTGCCTCTTACAAAGAGATCAACACATGGGACTGGGCAGTCTCACCGCAGACAGTGACCCAGAGCAAGGAGCAGCTGCCAACACCATCATCTGCCATCTGCAACGTGTTCTGCCCTAGGTACCGTGAGGACGGAGTACCACCTTCTGATAAGGTAAAATACAGAGATTTAAATATCAGCCAGATAGAGAACAGGTTATTTTTAAGGCAAGCAAAGGACGAATTGTAAGTGGCATTGTGCTTATCCCCATATTCCTCCCCTGAATATCCCCAAACACTTGACCTGTGCTGATCTCATCTTTCCATAGCCCATAGTGCTATTGGACCCACATTAACTTCTATGCTAGATCCTAATCTGTTTTTGACAGCTCTGTTGCCAACAGTGTGATGGGCAGTTAGCACTGTTACCTTCTCAACTCCAGTGGCTGGCAAACCAGTAGATCATTGCTGAGCTCTAGATCTGTGAAGATCTCATCCATAGTTCTAGTTAACGGGAAATGCAGGGCAGGAAATGCAATGTGTAACAGGTCAGGGTAAGTTTAAATGCACAAACCAGGCTTCTTGGGGAAGTGATAACATTGGTTTAGTTATTCTAGATCCAAGCCAGAGTTTTGCCAAAGGATCTTGCCATCTCTGTAGCCACCCAGGTTGCCCAGCGGTGTCTTTAAAGAAGTCTTCAGAGCACATTTGAAACAGATCTGGGAAAAGCAGAGAGGGGAAAAAATGCAGTTAAATGCAGAAGATAGGAGGAGTAATAGAGAATTCCTAAGAAACTCTGGGACACTAAGAACAGGTTTGGACAGTACAGGTTGGTATTTTACTCTGACAAAGCAGCACTTTGCTCAGTAGCGGCTCAATGAGAGCCTGAAGCAGACATTATGCACACAAGTAGGCTGCAAAGAGAAATTACAGGTCTTGATGCTAGACTCTGCCTGTTCAGATCCATCCAGAGTGAACAGATGTATGCAGACGCAGTCTCCAGGGAATTATAATCATGCAGTGACTTGGCAGGAATGGAGAGCAAAGAGCAAGTAACTGCTCGTGATCTCTGGGAAGGATCATTTCCTAGAAAACACAACGTGTTGGAGCTCTTATCTGCCTCGTGTAAAAGCTGTACTCCACGAGGAAGGAGGAAGGGCACATCTGCCAGCAATTCTGCTTTATGGGGGTTACAGAGAGGCGTACCAAACCAGCCTTTTATTGTACCTGCAGGAATGTTCACTTGATCTTTCACAACTCTGTGGCAGAGCAACAAGTTTTTGCACAGAGGCTCCATTCACAGAATTGCTTGCTACTGTATGTAGCACAGCTTGATGGGTTTTGCCAAACCTGGAACCAGCTTGCATTTCTGAGCTGAGCTCTGCTGCCCAAGAGGGTTGTGCAAAGCACGACTTCCACAGTGCTTTGCTAGCCCTAACATGCACTTTGTCTCCGGATTGGAAGTGACAAAGCTTTAAGTTTACAAATTAGAAAGTAAGAGAGAGAGCAAAAGGCTGAGTTTCATCTGAAGGATCGGGGATTCATTCAGAACACGACTAGAGGCAGTCTGAAGCAATCAAGCTATCACTGCTAGGACCAGATTTACTGTTAGTCATGCTCTGGGAACTGATCCTAAGTGTCTGAAAAGGCCCCCAGAGGTTAAGCAGGGCTGAGATGCTCTGTCAGTGGCTGAGTTTGCACTCTTCTGAACCAGAAGAGACTAGCATAGCTGGAGATGGAGCAGTAGAAGTCATTACTGTAATGCCAGAACAAGACCTCAGCTGTGTCTTGCTCATGCAGTTGAGTTCAAACTTTAATCAAAGAGATTTATTGGCAGCTCGAGGTCTTCTACCATGCTGAAAAGATCTGTGAGGCAATGCCCTGCACTCCCACCTTTCTTCTGTTTTACAGGGCAGTTAATAGATGCTCCTAATTAGCTCTGCACTATTGCAAGTGGTAGCACCTCATTTTGAGCATCTATCATAACAGCAAGCAGAGGGGTTCTTTGGGCCTAAGGATTGTGTTATACTCACTTGGTAGTAAGCATGTAAAGGTACAAGATGACAAACCATCATCAGAAGTCAGAAGAATATCACCCAGCTAGTGACAGTTGAAGGCACACATGAAAATTGACTCTAATAGCTGTGAATCTTGGCTAGAATTTATTAACTTTCTCCTGAAAGAAGAAGTTCCAGGAATCTAAACCAAAAAAAAAAACCTAAAAATCTGGCTCCACTCATCCAGCACAGCCACATGCACCAGACAGGATTTCTCTTAGCTGATTTTTTCCTACCTTTTTTGCCATTCCTCTGTGCACTTCACAAACCAGAGCTCCTTACCAGGAGTTATACTGGTTAGCTGGGCATCCTCCACACAGAAAGCAAACCTAAGAGGCGGAATCAGAAGTCAAGAAAAGGTACCTTTTGCCTCCATGATTAGCAAACAACATGTAATACGGATTGCAGCTAATTCTAGGACAAGTTGTTTGATCTGACATTCTTCCTGTGGAGTACCTTGATACACCATTAGCCTGTTGAACTGCTGTTTTATTTCCTACTTTATTTTTTATTTGAGAATCCTGGCTTCTACTACCCCTATGTTTCATAAATTGTAGAAACTGGGATGCAGAAATACCTAACAGATGATAGCAGATGTTTTAGAAAGCTTTGAGAAATGTGGGAAATTGCCAGTATCAACTGCTGTTCTTTGATAGATCTGGATTACCTTCAGAACAACATTAACATGAGATTTGGGAGTGCAGGCTGCATGCTTGGCAGCTTTTTGTTGGCTGTTCAGGTAGCTTTCCAGTTATAGACATCTCAGGAACACTAAGGAGTTGTTGTCACCATGTTAATGGTTGCAGTTTTAGATCTGGTTTGTGCCAAATCAGCACATTATGGGTGTAAATAATAACCATGGCTATCTATGTTTCAGTATTTTTGGTCCTGTCTCATTTTTTGGTGCTTTAACCTTTTTGGTATGACCTATACCATCTTGAAGTAGGCTAATTTAGTCCCCAGAGGGCAGGCAGGGCAGCTTTCTAAACAAAGCAAAAGAATATCCCAGATCTCACATATGGTAACTAGTTTTGCTTAAAACCTAGTTTGCAACCGCATGCTGGCAAGTAACCTACTCTCCTACACTGTGAGGGAGCATTACCTTGTACACTGAAAGCAAAAGGCAGTTCAGAATACCAACCAAGTTCAAACCCCCGACTTTTCCTGCTAGATTCTGAGCATTTCTCCTTTGAATCAAGGTTTCCAGTGAAAGCCCATGCAGTCTAACACAGTCATTACCTCTGCTGCGTCTCCCCAGATTTCACACGGATACGTCGGATATGCAGCTCCTGGGAAAGCTTTGCAGGCCGATACCAGTAGCTCTTCAGCTCTTTCCATAGGTCGTACCATGACTGAGATGTTCCCTCCCAGGTGAGCTTTATTTTCATCAGTTCACCCATGTCCTTTTCAGTATACACCAGGAAGGTGTTAGTAGCGTTTAGGCCAATTTGATCAAGCCTGAAAGATAAGCAGGGACTTGACAACTCTTCCTTATGGAAGCATGCCAGATGCTCATGTATTCCATGCAAGCAGTTAAACAGAGCCCTCTGAAGCTTATCAAGTGCTCCACGTTCCACTGTCACCAGTTAATCACTGATTACACCAAAGAAAGTAAGCTTAGATCCCTGGCTCAATATAATGCAACATGCATTTGGCTCAGCCATCCTTCCGTAGCTTAAAGGTAATTTCAAGCTTTGTGTTTCTTCTGGAAGAGGCTAAAGGAGGTCAACAGTGCCTCCAGAGATCTGGGTGATTTCAGAGTACATCTGAATGGTAGGGGGAAAAGCAAAACAAAGTACCTCAACAATGATCTATAAAGGCTAATATGTAGAGGACTGGGCACATCAAATTGCTTTTTCAGCAGTAAGTTATAATTAAAGTACTGAATGAAAAGTGTTTCGAATGGTGATGAAGCGAGGTTGCTAGGCTCAGATGCAAGGTTAATGTTACCTGAGGGAAAAGAATGATGCCACCTTGCCTAGTTCCAGTACATCCTTAGCTAAACACCACAGGCCAGCTTACTTACATTTCTAAAGAGAGAGGTTCTGAGTCTCCATTGGTGCCATAAAGGGTGACAGAGAAAGTGGGATCAGCCTCTCCCAAGCCCTGGTAGCTGAAGACATGCATTTTCATCTGATAATGGTAGACTGGAAAGAAAAAAGGAGAGCACAGATGGAACTGACTTTAAGAGACAACATTTCTCAGCATTACTCTTTGTGAAATAGTGCTGGCTGGCAAAGGCCAGACCCTTTCTTTATCATCAATTGCTTTTCATTGCCCTTACTCTTTACAGAGTTGATATTTACACCACAACAACAGCAGGTCCACCCTGGGGAAAGTTCCCCAAACCTTACACTGCTCTAAGGCTGGGGTGGTCTTGTATGACATGTGAGAACTGCACTACAGCTCTTTTGAGCATCCTTATGTCCAGAGCCCTGCTGATTTTCCATGGAGGAAGGATCACTGTGATGCCACAGGACAGCAATGCAGCCAGGTAACAGCAAAAGACTAACACCTGGTGCTGCGCTGCTTTAAGGTGATGCCACTCTTCCACGTCTTTCCCAACACTGACTTTGGAGCCTGCTCTTAGAGAGGAGACTGTGCTCTTTCTAAGAAGGAAGCACACCTTTGAACGGCATGTCAGCTCTTGTTTTCAAGTACATCTTGCTGTTCCTTCTGTTCCGTGTTTTCCTGGCATTGTAGCCGATGCCGTTGCAGCGGTTCTTCCGGCAGCTCAGGCAGATGCCCTTCTTGAAGCGGCTGGAGTCGGTGCATTGGAACGCGAAGCTCTGTTTGTCCTGGTTCACGAGGGAGTCCACGAAGAGGTGCACAGACCGCTCGTGCTCACATTTAACCACTTCACCGATCGCTAGAGAGGCAGAGTTGCAAGAGAAACGTTTTGCTTAGGCACTTGCCACCCCAGCAGCTGGTAAGGTACAGTGAGCTATGCCTTTTTGCAGCCCAGCATGAGCTGAGCATTGCCAAATGTGAACGTGATTCAAACAGTAGCAATTCAAGGGGTTAGCGGAAGACAAGTGAAGAAGGCCATTTGTTTTGTCTCTACTATGAAGAAAGCTTTAAAGAGGATTTTAGACCCAGCACAAAATGACCATAGCTCATGATCAAGTGTTAGAGTGAGAACATGCTACTTCAGAATTAAAAGCAGGTCTAGTTTCTAGCAACTACCTCCAGCAGGCAGTTTAGAAGGAAAAAATAGTTTTCTATGCTCTTATAAACCAGATCATCCCCCAGCATCAACCCAAGTCTATTTGTGAGGAGTCTGCACTGACCAGAGGCAAAGTAAGTAATGAGAACTTACTCCCATAGGCAATTGCTCCCAAGACATCACTTAAACCACAGCCAGGCTGGAAGTCTCCCCCATTGGGGTAGATGTCAACATGGCCTACAGGCATCTGGATCCCAATGCTAACACCTAGTGTTTCCCTTGTGTAGGTGTGAAGGACATCCACAAAGTTAGCATCATCGGGGGAGAGGCGCTTGCTAGGGTCCACTCCTTCAAACATAGGGCCAGCGGGATCCAAACCTGGTGTTAGAGACAGTATGCAAGATGCCAGGTAAGAAACTGGGTTATTTCATACAGAATACAGCCAGGAGCCTGCTGCTAGCAGCCCTGCTAACACAGACAGTCCCTGCCTCATAGCTGATGCTGTCCCCCTAGGTCTCTTCACCATGGGCTCACTGAGGGAACAAATGAAGATGTCCCATGCCACTTTTGGTGCAATACAACTCTGTAGTAGCAACAGTTTGCCCTACAGCAATGGTTTCAGAATGCCTGTCAGAAGCAACAAGTTTTTGCTAGGTCACAGTGAAGAACACCAGAAGAGGTCTAGCACCACACAGAGACCAGTAGTAGCCAAAGCTACCTTGGCTTGTCTATTTTCAGACTGGGCATACGGAGCAACTAATACCAGTTTAAGCAGCAGCCAGGTAATCCCTGCATCTGAGATCCCATGAAGGGTTTGGGAGGTTCTGTCAACCTCACTGCCACCTGAAGCTGTGCTCTTGAGCCATTCCTAAACTTGACTGTTCAGTGATTTTTCTTTTCTTTTCCTCTGCTTAACTAAATACACATATTTACTGCTAGGTTCTGAGGAATTCTCACTGCCAGTGTCGCATCTAAGCGCTTAATGCAACCCCTTGTACGATGCTTTAAGTTCTCTCATATTGAAATCAGCTTTCCTCTGGAGTCAGAAGCATTCTCTTCAAGATATTTTCAGAATGAGGGGTTGGGGCTGGTGGGTTTTGGGTTTTTTGATCAAACATCCCACGGGACAAACAGCACCCAATAGTTCTCACTTCCACTAGTTCTGAGCTGCAATTACAAAACCCAGTATCACTCAGGAGCTTAGGATTTGGACAGTAAGAGTTTGAGTTGGGCTTGTTTGAGGTATATTTGAAGGTAAATTTGGGTTTGTGATCAGGTTATGCTCTGAAAGGTTTTTTCATGGACCCCCCACACATACACTTAAGGGTTCAAAATGAAGACACTTCCTCATGTGAAAGGACCCATGCTCCCCACTGCTGCCACAGGTAGGAAACTTGTCATTTCTGAATGTGCAAGCCCAAAACAGCATCGAAGCAACACAGGAAATGAGCCTCTTCGGGGAAATGCCCTGCTGTTAAGAGAAGGTAAGAGACCACTTAAAAAGCCACTTGCCTGTAATCCTGCCTATTGTCCCATGGACGTGGTTACCAGCAAAGCCAGCGACGTGAGCGCCCAGGCTGTACCCGATCAGGTGGACGTTCTCGAGCTGGAAGAGTGGGGTCTCCTGCATGGAAGAAGAGGTGTGATAATCTTCTCCCCTGTCTTTGAGGGCATCTGCAGGACTATAAAGTCCAGTTCCAAGAAGTGACTGGAGCGAGGGGGCAGACAAGCATGCTTCATTCTTATTCCATCAAGACACAATGAAGGATTTGGATGGCACTTGTCATTTGCCCCCAGCCACAGTACCCAGCTTCCAACCCCAATTATGATACTCTTCCTTTGAGCAGCAGACCTCTGTACTGGCCACAGACTCCATGGTACTACACCATGGGCCTCTTCTCTTTTCCAACCTGTTGGAAGCCAAGGTTAACTTTGAATGCCCAGCTCCTAACTTGCTCAAGCAGGACTCCTAAATGGAACTGCTGGAGCAAGTGCAGAGGAAGACACAAGAATGATCAGGGCCTGAAGCACCTCTCAACAGGCTGAGAACATTGGGGCTGTTCAAGCTGGAGAAGAGAAGCTGCGTGGAGACCTCAGAGCAGCTTCCAGTGACTGAAGGGGGCTACAAGGGTGCTGGAGAGGGACTCTTCATCAGGGACTGCAGTGATAGGACAAGGGGTAACGGGTTAAAACTGAGACAGGGAAAGTTCAGAATAGATATAAGAAAGAAGCTCTTCCCTGTGAGGGTGCTGAGGCGCTGGCACAGGGTGCCCAGAGAAGCTGTGGCTGCCCCATCCCTGGCAGTGTTCAAGGCCAGGTTGGACACAGGGGCTTGGAGCAAGCTGCTCTAGTGGAAGGTGTCCCTGCCCGTGGAAGTCCCCCTCAACATCACCGACCCAAGCGCGCCGCAAGGCAGCGTCTCCAGGAAAGCACAGGGCTGAGCACACACCTCAGCTCTGAGCCACGGCCCCGCCGAGCCTCAGGGTTGGGATTACACCAGCTCGTGAGCGCTGGAGCTGGTGAATGCTCCATTCCCTTGTGCAACATTCCCCCACAGAGCATTACAACAGAGGCTGTTCTTAACTCGCGTTACCTGTAACCAGTCAAGCAGCCTAGCTATGCTTTTTCCAACAATCTGTGTGTTGTTCACAGCATCGGTGTAGAGCTGGTGGGCGAGGGAAAGCCAATCCACCACCACCACGTTGGCATCCTTCTCCCTCTTCTGGAGAGCGGATACCAAGCTGCCCAGCCAGGTTTCGAACATGCCACTCATCTAGAAGGAGATCCAGGTGTTAGTTTCCATCTCACAGGACCCAGATTACATATTCACAGTTGGGTTATTTGCACATCATTTACATATCCTGCTCCAGCTGCGTGCTGGTCCTCTGCAAGCCCCACTACTTCTCAGCGTTGCACTAGTGGTGTAAGAAAAACAGGTTTTGAGAGACTCTGGGTCTTGCTGATTAAGGCAGGAGTGAGAGGCATGCATTACACGCCTCCTTATCTCCCTTTTTCCCAAGGGTTTCAGAAATTCTGATGGATTGCAAAATGATTTTCCAGCCCTGGCACTGTGTAAGCTCTGTCAGAGCTAAGTCCCCTCGTGCCACATGCTCGGCCACATTAAGTCCAGAAGAAGAAAGCTTGGTAAAGTCTATCAGCCCTCCGTTTCTTTATCAAGGAGACCTGGGGACTGAAGTCAAGGCAGCAGGCACACAGCTACGATTACAGAAAGGCTACACGTGTATCAAGACATGTGCCACCCGCAGAGGGGTCGATTAGTTGGGTTTTAGGGAAAAGCCTCAAAGTTCCCCTTACCATGCTCACGTTATACAGGTATGATGCGGTCTTAGCAGTTGTGAACAAGTTGGGTGATTTCACAGAGCTATAGAATGCAATTTAAATTAAATGATCCAGGGACCTCGGGCGCAGACACTAAGAGACCACAGTGCTGAAAACAGGAAAAGCTGTCCCAAATCCCACATATTCTGGAGCCCCAGAGCAATTACAGCGCACTTCACACTCTGCGAGCGGACGGACTGAAGACCGAGCATCCCGCGACGCTCCGTACTTACGGTCCACCCGTGGATGATGAAGAAGGTCTTGGCTGTCACGTTGAACCTGCAGTCCTCCAGGCACTCGCTGTGACCGACGGCGATCGCGCAACCCTCCTCCCCGGCGTGCGAGGCGGAGCGGAGCGAGAACTTCACCCGCGGCTCGGCTGCCGTCGGCGCAGGCTGCTCGGCGACGGTGGCATCTGCAAAGCGGAGCGGAGCGAGGGGTCACGCCGGGGAGGGAGGGACCCGCGCTCCGCAGGGAAGGGACCGCGTTCACCCACCTCGGGCCGGCAGCGCAGCCGGCGCCGCGGTGCAGCAGATGACGGCGGAGCAGAGCAGGAGGGCGAGCCCCCGCATGGCTCGGGATGGATGGGTGGATGGATGAACGGATGGGTGGGTGGAAGGATGGATGGGTGGGTGGGTGGGTGGGTGGGTGGATGGACGGACGGACGGACGGACGCACCGACGGACGGACAGGCGGCAGCGGCGCTGCCCCGCTGGCGGCGGGGCCCTTTAAGGGGCTCATGGCACGATGGGCGGTCCCTGCCGGCGCCGGACAGCAGCGGCGCTCTCATTGGTCACGCCCTCCGTGACGTCGGGCAAAGAATAAATGAAGGGTCCCGCGCCGTCGGGGGGAGGGGGTCACGTGTGGGGAGCCCGATGTGGGGGGACACGGGAAAGTGGGGAGGAGGAGGTGTGTTTGTGTGTACATGTGTGTGTGCACATGTGTGTGTGTACATGTGTGTGTGTGTGTGTGTGTGTGTACAGGTACGTGCCTATGTATGTGTGTGTACATGTGTGTGTGTACATGTGTGTGTGTGTACAGGTACGTGCCTATGTATGTGTGTGTACATGTGTGTGTGTACATGTGTGTGTGTGTACAGGTACGTGCCTATGTATGTGTGTGTACATGTGTGTGTATGTATGTGTACATACAGGTACATGCCTACGTATGTGTGTGTACATGTGTGTGTGTGTGTATGTGTACATACAGGTACGTGCCTATGTATGTGTGTGTATGTGTACGTACAGGTACGTGCCTATGTATGTGTGTGTACGTGTGTGTGTGTACAGGTACGTGCCTATGTATGTGTGTGTACATGTGTGTGTGTGTGTATGTACAGGTACGTGCCTACGTACGTGTGTGTACATGTGTGTGTGTGTGTGTGTATGTGTACATACAGGTACGTGCCTATGTATGTGTGTGTATGTGTACGTACAGGTACGTGCCTATGTATGTGTGTGTACGTGTGTGTGTGTACAGGTACATGCCTATGTATGTGTGTGTACATGTGTGTGTGTGTGTGTATGTACAGGTACGTGCCTACGTATGTGTGTGTACATGTGTGTGTGTGTGTATGTGTACATACAGGTACGTGCCTATGTATGTGTGTGTATGTGTACGTACAGGTACATGCCTATGTATGTGTGTGTATGTGTGTGTGTGTACAGGTACATGCCTATGTATGTGTGTGTACATGTGTGTGTGTGTACGTACAGGTACGTGCCTATGTACGTGTGTGTACATGTGTGTGTATGTATGTGTACGTACAGGTACGTGCCTAACTATGTGTGTGTACATGTGTGTGTACATGTGTGTGTACATGTGTGTGTACGTACAGGTACGTGCCTATGTATGTGTGTGTACATGTGTGTACATGTGTGTGTACGTACAGGTATGTGCCTATGTATGTGTGTGTACGTGTGTGTGTGTATGTATGTGTACGTACAGGTACGTGCCTATGTATGTGTGTGTACATGTGTGTGTACATGTGTGTGTACGTACAGGTACGTGCCTACGTATGTGTGTGTACATGTGTGTGTGTGTGTGTACGTACAGGTACGTGCCTATGTATGTGTGTGTACGTGTGTGTGTGTATGTATGTGTACGTACAGATACGTGCCTATGTATGTGTGTGTACATGCGTGTATGTATGTGTACGTACAGGTACGTGCCTATGTATGTGTGTGTATGTGTGTGTTTGCGTATGTATATGTACGTACAGGTACGTGCCTACGTATGTGTGTCTACGTGTGTGTTTGTGTATGTGTGTGTACGTACAGGTACGTGCCTATGTATGTGTGTGTACATGTGTGTGTATGTGTGTGTACGTACAGGTACATGCCTATGTATGTGTGTGTACATGTGTGTATGTGTACATACATGTATGTGCCTACGTATGTGTGTGTACATGTATGTACATATATACATAGAATCATAAAATCACCTTGGTTGGAAAAGCCGTTTAAGCTCATCCAGTCCAAGCACTCCCCAGCACTGCCAAGGCCACCGCTAACCCATGGCACTGAGGGCCTCGTCTATGCGAACACTCGCAGGGACGGTGACTCCACCACCGTTACCCCAGGATGCAGCGGGGACAGGCAGCTCCACCAAATCTGGTTCCTCAGATGGGTAAAGCAAAGCACCACAAAGGGCTGTGTGAGCCATCAGCGCGCCTGTGCTGTGCCCACTGCCCACCACAGGTGCTAGTGTGGGTCTGGGGCTTTCAGATCCACATGCAATCTTGTACACTCTGAATTCCACAGACCCAACAGGCATCAGATGCTCCCCATGGGGCAAGCCCACCTGGCTGTCCACCAGCTTCCACAGTCGGGAAGTAGCGATGCCATGAATAGCTTTGAACCCTCAGTTGTGAAAAGCTCTTTATTCCCAATTTTTTATTGCCTGATCCATAAGCTAATGACCTATAAGATTACATTTTATTTTCTACTGCTGTGTAAGTGTAAGAAGGGGATGCCCTAGGACATCATCCCCTTCCTTTCCCTCCAAACCCACAACAGAAAGCAAGGAAGAGGCTCTAGGGTCTGAGGTGTTTGAGAACAGCAAGACAGCAGCAGGGGAGAGGTACAGCAAATGATGGGCAGAGATGAGGATGAAGAGATGGAGGCCTAAACCCAGTCAATATCAAGGGAAATATGGGAAATCAGGGACATGAATTGTTTGAGCCCTCACTATTAGGTATCAGTGGCAGAACTGATCTGATTTTCCAGCAGTGCTTTCATGGTGAGCTGAGTTCCTATCCTGCAGGCCTGCGAGCATTGCTCAGCCCAGCCACCTCCTGACTCCACGTGGGCTGGCAGTGGGTCTAGGTGACCATCAGAGGTCCATTCTATATCGAAGGCCAGGTTGGATGGGGCTTGGGGCAACCTGGTCTAGTGGAAGGTTTCCCTGCACATGGCAGGGGGTTGGAACTGGATGAGATTTAAGGCCCCTTCCAACACAAACCAGTCTGGGATTCTTTGGTCTTCGTAATAATAAAAGCATAGACTCCATGAAGTTGGAAAAGACCTTTAACATCATCTAGTCCAACGTTTACCCCAGCACTTCCAAGGCCACCACCAGATACTGTGATTTAGTTTGTGTCCCAGTTGGTTCACTGATGGACAGAAATTACATTTCTTACGTCAGGAAACTTCTGCAGTTGTAGGGATGTGAGAAAAGGTGGCAGAGGATTGGAACTGGATGATCTTTATGGTCCCTTCCAACCCAAACTACCCTAAGAGCCTATTCTAGTCTCGTCTAGTTTATCCTATCCTTCTCTTCTATTTTATTCTATTTTATGCTATTATATTTTATTCTGTTCTTGTCTCTGTTCCATTCTGTTCTGTCCTGTCCTGTCCTGTCCTATTCTGTCCTGTTTTCGATTCTGTTCCATTCCATTCCAAAAGGTTTCCTCCTAGCTCTCATACAGCAGGTTGTGATGGGGGACTGCTGCTCTTCTCCTTTTGGGGATCATTCTTGAACCTCTTCATTCTGACTTGGCAGAGTGAATACACGTTCTGGGAGCTATTTGAGCAGCTCCTGTTTCAGGAGGCTGCAGATGACGCTAACTGCATCTCCCTAGGGAGCATGGCTTTGAGCTGCCTCTCCCACAGCTGTGTGGTCCACCGAGGAGCAGCATCCCAACAGTGGTGGCCTAAAAAAGAAAGGACAGAGGTTTCTCAGCTGCTGGCCCACAGCCGGCCTTACTCCTGCAGGAAATGAATCAACCAAGCCTCATCACCAAATGCTTCATCATTTAAAGACATTCCTGGTGCCAACAAAGCCCTGCCAGACCATCGGCCACTCTGACGTCTTCTTATTCTTTCTCCTGTGCTTTTGCATTCAGCTGCTGCCTCTTGCCATTGTAAAGCTGCGATGGGTGGAGACAAGTCCTCCTTTTGTCTGTGTAGTGTCCTGCTCTTTGCCTCTGGCTTCCACAAGTGACAGCAGGAGTGAGAATAACTTAGCAACAGCGAGGAAGAAGCACATCAAATAATTCCTGGCTGCTTCAGCCAAAAGGTCCAGGGAGATGCTCAGGAACGGTTGTGATGGGCATCGTGTCAATGCAAAGAGTATGGCTCTGCACTGACCTCTCTGTAACCCCAGTGTCCTGGGGGGTGAAAGGCACCCACCCAGAGCTGACTGGAAAATAACAGTTCATTAAGCACAATAATTTTAAGGAGAAATTCCTAGTTTTGATTAGTTTTTCTCTGGGAGAGATTTCATGGTTCCCAGATGGAATTCCTGGATACTGTAATAAGTAATAAATAATAAACCAGGGTAAAATGGATAATAATCCACTTTAAAAGAGCTGGAAGCTCAGTATTTGCAGCACTTGTAGGGATGTCGGAGGCTTTATCCCAGCAGCTGCTGTGAGCTGGGCAATGCCTGGGGAGATGGTGGCTGTTCTTGCAGGCTTCTTTCTGGATCTCTTCTTTCTTCCCAGCTCCATTTCCACTGTGATCTCCTAGAGACCTAAGTTCAGGGAAAGATAAAACAGGTTTTTCAGCAGCATTTAATCTGGGAGGTTTCCATGTCCATGTATCCATCGGTGAGACCCCTTCAATGCAGAACATCTCCATCCTGCGTTATGTTCAGTGTCTTCTGCAGGAGTTCTGTGTCTCTTGATAGAACGTGTCTGTCACCGTCCTGCTCAAGGAGACTGACATCAGGAGCCTTTTGCAAAATAATTGTCTCTAACACTTCTATCTCTCTGTCTTTAGAATCAGTCCAAAACCTCTTTTCCCTGCAGAAATCACAGCAAGAAGTGTGAATGAACTGCACCATCAAAGACCTGAGCGCTAAGGGGAGAGGGAAAACCCTTCAGCATCACACAGCCTCTTTAGAGACTTGCAGAGGCAGAGTAATTCTGGGGCGAGAAGCTCTGGAGATCACAAGGAGAACAAACAGCAGCTGCTTGCATGAATGGGGCTACCAATATTGCATCTTTCATTCTCTCAGGCATGTCCTGCCATGGAAAGAGCAGCAGCGAGAATGTTTAGCTGCCCAGGACAAGGCATCATCACCTCAGTGAATGGCTGCAGGATGGATTTGCATGGTACTCCAATGGCTAAGATTGCATCCCATCACATTCACATCACCAGGAAGGTGGAAACGGAGCAGTTGGCTCAAGTGACCCCTCTTGATGGAGAAAAACAGTGGCTCTTGCATTCGTGGATGCTTGTTACTGAAAGCAATGGCACACCAACAAGAGACAAAGATGCTCCTAATAAGGATCGCTCATTTGCACAAGCCAAAGATTAATTCCATTGCCTTAGGTCAGATACTCGGCATCAGGGAGTGATTATTCCTATTCTTCAAATTTTTAATTCCACATTTAGAAACCTGAGAATGTTTTACACACCCTCCATTCTTCCTGCCTGTCTTTTCCCTATTTTCATTCTTTCTCTCCAATGGAAGAGGGAATAGGGTTTTAGTATTTGCAGGATCGGAGGAGGAGGGGAGAGAAAGGGATTGTTCTTTTCTTTTTTCTTTTTTTTTTCTTTTTTGGTTATAAAACAGTTTTTCTTTTCAATTATAAAACACAGCCCAGGCAGTAGAATTTAATGGGATTGGTGCTAGTTCCCCTCTTGGCTCCATCTGCCTAATTTGTTGCTGAGATGATGGGGAGAAGGGGTAGAGATGGGGGCTGCATAAGAAACCGAGGAGGGAAGTGCTCTTCGGGCAGCTTTGGGGTGCACTGAGCTGGGGCCATGGGGGACCCCCAGTCAGACAGGTATGCAGAGCTGACAGCACCCCAAAGGGGTGTCCTGGAGAGGCAGCTCTGTGGTGAAATAACACTCTGGGTTAATCCTTGCATCACCCTGTGCCTGGTCAGCCCAGGCCCTCTTGGTTTGTCATCATCCCATCACGCCACTAATTCTTTATACTGAGTGCTTACTGCAGAGGGGGGCGATACGACTTACGTGGCACAGTTTCTGCTGCGGGTATTTTTGCTCTGTGAACATCAAACTGAGGTGAAAAAAGCCCATGGTGTCTTTGTTTCACATCCATTCCCCAACCCACAAAGTCTCTCCTCCCCTCCTCAGCCTTTCGTATACACCCCCTCTATAAACATGCTTATACCCCTTGATAGCTTGCTTGCAGAGGAGGCTAATCTCCATTAGGTTATGAAATCAGCTCACATGCTTCAGTGGCATTACCCACTATTGATACCCCCATTCGATCCCTGTTGAGCTCTCTTTGTTGGAGGTAACCCCTTCTCCTACTTCTTCTAAGCTGATTTCTTAGGCCACATCATTCAAGTCCTACATCCCCATGGTATTTAGACGTAGTAAAAATGACTGAGGGGGAAAATAAATGGCAACTAAACTGTCTGACTATTAATGGTCCCGTTAGTTGCAAATTTACTTTACCACAAAGCCCCCAGCATGTAATCCTTAGATGAATGCCTTTGATTGTGAGGGAATATTTACAGCTGACCCTGCTGGCAGTCTGCAAACCTGCAATGGGCCTCCTGTCCCACATTAAATCCGCTAGCATCTGTTCCTGGGTTCTTACCAAGCACATGCTCTATCGGTGCAGTGTTTGGGCTGCAGCGCTCGCGGATACAGTGGGCCTTGAAGAATAAATCCCTGCATTCCTGAGAAACACTAATTCTTGTGAACGTTGTCACACAGGGAGGAACGTTACAGTTCGTACCTGCCTCCGGGCATCCCCCAGACACAGGGAGGGTCTCAGAAGGCTTTGATCCCTGCTGGCTGCCCTCTTCCCATAGCAGCACCCTGGTTCTGCTGCTGGACCACCCTTCACCAAAGACAAGCTTCTTCCTGGCCACTCTTTGTTGTACCATTTTCCCATGCCTAAGCAACCTGAAGTGACTTTTAGGGTGATTTTAATCTCTTTTCACCCCTGCCCATGCCTTGAAGTAGTTGCCAGGTTTCTCTGACTTGAGAGCGTGTTGCTCTTGCAGAGACCCTCAGGTGATCTCACACCATCTCCGGCCACAGCAGAGCTGTGCAGGAGCACAGCCTGAATGCCAGTGAAAGCTCAGTGTGTCCTGATGCCTGTGTCCAAGCAGACAAGTGCTAATTCAGTGCCTTGTCATTCCCAGCATGTGCCGAGGTACGTGAGATGGATACAGACCGCTTGGCTGCTTTGTGTGGGACAGAAGACCCAGTGGTGGGTGGTGAGCCTGCTCCAACCACTCTAATGACAAGGATGTCTTTAGGTCTGTGCCGAGGAACGACGTATATTTTCTCTCTTTCTACGCATATGCCCAAACCCCACTCTTTTTCATCCAAGCTGTATGAACGCTGAGCATGTTTGGGCTTGAACAGGGACTTGGAGCCAAGCCCACTGGCAGTGCACAAGTGCTGTGGGTACCCGGGGGATGATTGTCTCTGCTTTTTTCTGTGCTAAGTGGGGTATTGGAGAAGCATCACAGTTCATGATCACTTGACTCTTCATATTGTGGTGGATGGTGAGCTCCCAGCAGCGCTCCTGCTTTAATTCTCCAGCATCCAGCAAAGGGAAAGATGATTAAAAAACCCAATAAATGACTAACACTGGTCCCCTGCCTTTTCTGTAAGTGGAGCCTGGAGCTGCTGGAAAGTCCAGAGAGGGGTTTGGAGGCAGTTGTTTGGTTTAAGGAGTTTTTTAGAGCACATATCCTTATCCACGTTTCTCTTCAGATCTGCAGAAATACCTGGCCCAAGTCTGGATGTGGTAGCAACATCAGTGTGATGTATTCGACACTCAGACAGACTGCAGCTTAAGGAAAGACCATAGGAGCTGTCAGAGCAGGCAGCAGCTCTCCTACCTGCTTAGATCAGTCTGTCAGACCAGGCCACAGGCTCTGTCTTTGGGCTCATTTCTAGAAGATATTGCAAGATGGCATTTGGGGAGAATAATCAGTAAGCTGACACCTCCTCCTTTTCCAAAAACTTCCCAGACTAAACCCAAAAGCAGCCACCTAAATCATCATTTTTAGCACTCTTAAATACACTCTAAATTGATCACAGTGGCACTCAGGCTTCCAAAATGGATCCCATAAATCTGGATGGACACAAAAAATGAGGAAACTCTGAGCATGCCACTCAACATCCCAGTGCCTACAGGAAAGAAAAGGAGGTATTTATTAAAACCAATTAATTTGTTACTTACAAAGCAAAGCCCCATGAAGACATGTAATGTTTGTTCTCTCCATTATTGATAATTTGCACCTAAGGTTTATGGTTGCAAAAATCTCAGATTATTCTTTAGTCAGCCGTTGTTGGGTCAGACAGCTAATGCATGTTCTTCCTCACTTCATAGTATCGACTGCTGATCTGGCTGGTGTTTAGGAGATCCTTTAGCAGTATTTGATTGTGATTCTCATTACAGGAGAATGGCATTTTAAACCACACATTTTCAGGGGTTTTGTCAGAGAAATTGTGGCAAACACTTTGGGGCACAGAAATAAGCAGCACAAGATTGTGTTGTGTATCATCAAGGTTAGTATTGTTTGTACTCCAGCACCCTGTTTTTTATTTCCTCTTTTCTTTTAATCTTTGTCCTTCACAAATCACAGCAGGGTGTAGCCTGGGATCTGCTAGAGACAGGGGAAAGCCTTGAGCCATCCTTGGAGATAAGTAGAGTCTCCTGCTTTACTCAGATGTTGGCTTTAATTAATAATATATAGAAAATGAAATACATTTATTATTGATAATAATATAAAGTATATATTATATATAACATTATAAAAATTAATGTATAATGTTATTATGTTAATAATATAAACCAACAATATTATTGAATTTTTCACCAGCTTGCACATTTTACTTTGAGAACCTGACAATTATCCCCTGCCTACATCCAGGTTCAATCCTCACTGTTTCAATGAAAGGACATCTAGCACATTCATTTACAGCATATGCAGTATGACAATGAGGAAGAACGAGATGTCCCTGAGGATGCTGCTTACACGCTCTGCTTCACCTTCTGGGCACTTATTCCTAATTGCCTACCTTCTCATATTTATTGTGTGTGTTGAGTGTGCGGATATTATTAGGAACAGCGAATGGCTCTAATTAATTAAGAAAAGCTCAGGACACTTCTTGGTACTTTGTACTCATGTTTCTGCCTGTAATGTACAGACACTGCTGATGTTCATCACAGGAACTGCCAGTACAAGGACAGGCAGGCCAAGTAAGGTCATGTCATAGGAAAAACAGAACTTTTCTGTACAGTCACTCAAATCACAGACTGCACCCCCAGAGTGTGAGCAGCACGTTGAGGGAGGGGATCCTGCCCCTCTGCTGCACTCTGGGGAGACCCCCCCTGCAGTCCTGATCCAGCTCTGGGGCAGCAGCACAAGAGGGACGTGGAGCTGTTGGAGCGAGGCCAGAGGAGGCCATGGAGATGCTGCGAGGGCTGAAGCAGCTCTGCTCTGGAGCCAGGCTGAGACAGCTGGGCTGGGGCAGCCTGGGGAAGAGAAGGCTCTTGAAGGGGAGACCTGAGAGCAGCTCCAGTGCCTAAAGGGGCTGCAGGAAAGCTGGAGAGGGGCTTTGGGCAAGGGCCTGTAGGGACAGGCCAAGGAGAATGGCTTTAACCTGCCCGAGGGGAGACTGAGATGAGCTCTTAGGCAGAAGCTCTTTGCTGTGAGGGTGCTGAGGCACTGGCACAGGGTGCCCAGAGAAGCTGTGGCTGTCCCATCCCTGGCAGTGTTCAAGGCCAGGTTGGACACAGGGGCTTGGAGCAAGCTGCTCTAGTGAAAGGGGTCCCTGCTCATGACAGGGGTGTTGGACTACATGACCTTTAAAGGTCCCTTACAACCCAAACCATTTGAAGGTTCTATTCTATGACTCTATGATATGCTCTAGAGAGCAAGGGTGGTATTTTCTAAGTAGATAACAATGTAGAAGGTGTGAGCAGAGTCCTGCCAGGCAGGCAGGTCAGGGGAGTAGTATCAGCAGACCTGCCCAGTCTGAGTCGTGGGTGCAGGACTCATCCTGCCAACCACTTCCTGTGTGTAAGGCTCCTTCCTTGCATTTGCAGTGCAGTTCCACGCCTTCAGCTCCCATCCATGCCCGGCACCTGCAGGTCCAGGATCTGATGGAGTCACGGGGTGGCAGTGGCCATGGGGAGGGAGCTGGAGATGTGCTACCCACTGGGGCCCCATGTTCAGCAGATGCCTGCTGCAGCCTTGCCCAGCAGTCCCTACTCATCATATGACTTTCCCAAGCAATGGCATGTGACGGCACCATGCACACTGGAAAAGAGTGGAGAGGAGAGGCTGGAGAGGGGGAGGGCAGCTCAAATAGGGGATTAGTAAGCATGGACAGATAAGGAAGGCTTTGAAAGAGGGGGCTTGTGTCAGAGCTGTTGTAATAGCAAAGGAGGAGGTAGCTGGATGGTTGGGAGAGGGAGGGGAGAGCCAGGAGAGAGGGATGACCTCAGAGGTGACATTTGGGATCAAAGCAGCGAAGTCATTGTCTTGTGAAGAGGAAGATGCTGCAATCAACACAGCAGGGGACAGCAGGAACTTGGGGAAAATCTCTGACAATAGGAATAGGAAAGAATGAACACAGAAACCACACATTGGTGTGATCAATGAAGATGCTGGAAGCATTGCTGTGGAGATGAAGTTTAGAGGAGCAGACATTCAGGGCTGAAGCTTCTTGCCATGCCTTGAACAAAACCCTGTCTGCTGCATGGAATCTTTGCACTGGTTGTGTTAATAGGTATCATCCAACCTCACTTCGCAGGCTCCCAGTGGATCTCTGCCTTGTTCCATGCCCAGGTCTCTCTGTGCTGTGTCTACCAGCAGCGAGATGCAGGTGCAGAAGCCCCTAGAAGAGAAGAACAGGTTTGATTGTGCTTATCAGGTGATTCCGAGTAGCTCTTCATCAGACCAGATGAAGACGCAGATGTATGAGACACAGAAAGGTTGAAGCCTCTTCATCTAACAGAGGAGAGGAAGAGGCTTCAACCTCAGAGGAAAACAAAAACTATTTTACATTTAAACAGAATTCCCCATATTTTAATCTGTGACTAAACTGTGGATGCAAATTGTGGGCAATATCCCCAGTTCCAGAGATATTTTTGGTTTCATTACCCAAAAGCATATTTAAAGCAGTAGTTCTTGGTTATGAGCTAGACAGGTTAGAGCAAAGAAGAGCCCAGGATTTCATTTATCTCAAATAACATTTATGATCAGGCACTTACATGATATCTTTATTTACTGCTTTACTCATCAAGTCAATTGGCTGGTCCCTTTCTGGCAACAAAAGCCACAATTGAGATGTCAGAGAGCTGCAGAAGCTGCGTAAATAGTTTGCTGGCAAGAAATACACTGAATAAACACAACCCCCAGCCACAAGGTTATTTGATCACACGGGAGATGCATTCCACTGGTGATTCCCTCATAGGTGGGTGTGCAGGGGCGGGTGAACTCATAGCTCTAGGATAATATGTCAAAAATGCTGAGTATTGAGACACTATCAACAATTGCTGTGGTTTCTTGTTTTGACCATGTTGCTGGCTGGCTGGACACCAGCAGCACAGAGAAGGTGCTGTGCCTACTGTGTCATGCTTCAGGAGTGGTGACGGTAAGGACAGAAACATGGATGTCATGACACTAAGGTTTCCTCAACCCTGAACTGGGTACAGTATATATAACAGAGACAGACTGTGCAGCTAACCTCTTCTTGTAAAGAATTGCCTGTGGCTTAGGAGGATTCACAGGGAATCAAAAGCATCCTGGTTGTTCACATATTTTAGATGACACACTTGTGATGATTTATATGTGTACACATATATGCAGATACATAAAGATATGTATATAAATAACTTTGCTATATATCTGCTTATGTAAGAACTTTTGGCCCCCTGTGGAACCACGTCTTCTTAAAAATTACAGGGAGGAATATAGAACATAATTGAGCTCTTCAAGTGACCAAGACTGATGCAGAGCAAAACTCCTATAGTGTCTCATTTTGCTGCCGTTGGTCAGTCCATCTTATCAAATCATAGAATCCCAGACTGGTTTGTGTGGGAAGGGACCTTAAAGCTCACCCAGCTCCAACCCTTGCCACAGGCAGGGACCCCTTCCACTGAACCAGCTTGCTCCAAGCCCCTGTGTCCAACCTGGCCTTGAACACTGCCAGGGATGGGGCAGCCACAGCTTCTCTGGGCACCCTGTGCCAGCTCCTCAGCACCCTCACAGGGAAGTGCTTCTGCCTAAGAGCTCATCTCAGTCTCCCCTCTGGCAGGTTAAAGCCATTCTCCTTGGCTTGTCCCTACATCCCTTGTCCCAAAGCCCCTCTCCAGCTTTCCTGCAGCCCCTTTAGGCACTGGAGCTGCTCTCAGGTCTCCCCTTCAGGAGCCTTCTCTTCTCCAGGCTGCCCCAGCCCAGCTCTCCCAGCCTGGCTCCAGAGCAGAGCTGCTCCAGCCCTTGCAGCATCTCTGTGGTCTGCTTTGGACTCACTCCAACAGCTCCATGACCTTCTTATGTTGGGTAACTTATGCTGAGGAAATGCATCTTCTGAAGATGCATTTCCTCCTTTTCCAAGCCCACAGGTCTTCCTCTGGGACTTGCTGCCTGGGTCAGTGCATTTTAGGACACTGCTGTGGAGAGTGGCTTAGCTGGAGAATTCATCCCATGCACACATGCTGTTGAAGGAAAAGGGAAACAATGTGAGCAAAGTGTGCCTCTGGCGAAGCCCCACATCTGGGAGGAGGAGTGCAGGATTCCGTAGGCTGGTCAGGAGAGAGGATTTCAGGGAAAGGAGGTGCAGGCAGCTGTCTGAAGGCTGGAAAGCTTCAGTGTTTCAGCGTGCAAGCTGGTTTCAATTTAAAACGTCTTTTCCCTCAAGATTTTCTGCTTAAGCATTAGGACAAGCAACCCATTTGTATGCAATTTTGTGAATGACAGTTAATATCCCCACATAACCCTTGGACTCCAAAAACCGTGTAAGATAAATGCCAAGAAATCTACAAAAAAGCTTGAGGAATTGGCTTCCATCCTCCTGCAAAGAACAGGTAAACCCTCCTCCTGCAGTGCAGCGGATACACAACATGTTTTAGCAAGCCAGAGTTAAGCTTGGTCAATCAGGCCATTGGATCTATCTGTCACAGGGATTTTAGCATGGACCCTCCTGTTGCTCTACCTGCCCCTCTGTTAGCAATTACTGCCTCCAAGCAAGAGCAGAGGCAGATGTGTGTCTGAGCTCACACTCAGGCAATTGAGCTGCAACAGAGTAGGTGATAAAGTATTGCCTTGGCAACCACAATCAAAGTATTGCCTTCTGGCGAGTACCAGAAGAGGTTTGCTTCTGCCGCATCTGCTGTGGCAGTGGTGGAACTCCAGAGCTGCGGGAAGGTCCTACAGATGGAAGTGAGCTCTCTTAGATCCAGACCTGCTGTGAAAACCCCTAACCAGTTTCAGAGCTCACCTCTCCCTCCCCTAAGGGATGGTGGCTATGCAGGGTGTTGACTGACTGACACTTAGAGGGACATTTGGCTTGGCAACTACAGCAGGACCGATAAAGCTGCTTGTTTACTCACTGTACGTTCATAAAAGGACTTGTGTGATGTAGCATTCCTGCACCTGTACACTTCCCACTGCCTGCTGGGCTTTTCCAGGCAGGTTAATTGGTGCAGCGCCCTTTCAGCCCACAGAGCACATTCAGAGGTGAGGTGTGAAGCCAACGCACTGCAGGCTTCTCAGCAGAAAACCTGCACTGGGGAGAGTGGGAGCATCTCTGCCACAGAACAGCCTCTGTCCTCGTGGTTAGGATGTGGCTTTGAAACCACTCAAGGAAAGAAAACTGAAAGTGGGTCTTCCACGGTGCTGGGTCAAGATGGGCACTATCCCATTCTGCAGGTTTCTGCCTCAGGAGATGGTAGAAACCTTTGCTGCCCTTGTGATGAGCCCTTCATTGGAGGATGCTCCTAGCAGGAGCTTCCAGAGCAGAGGAATAGTTCAGGTATGAACACAGTTGGATCTTTGCTTTCAGTGCCTGCCAAGAGAGTGAGATCTTCCTGGACATGCATGGCACAATCACCAGGGCTAGGTGGTGTGGACAGGGGAGCTGAGAGGGATGGAACCAGGGGAGTTTAAGGTAAAGTCCTGCAGAGATTCCAGTAGGACTAGGAGGCAGTTGTCTCCTATGCAGGAGTCTTCAGGAGCATGATTTGGGACTTAGGTGCCTAAATTTTCTGCTTAGGATCCAAAAGCTCTTTTCAAGTCAGCTCATGCAAGCTAAATACTCAAGGCAGCTGGTGCCCTGGGGGAATAATCTACATAAGTCTCAACAGGGCATATGCTCAACTGCCTCAGCCCTGATCTCAGCTTCAGTTCTGTGCTAGGCCACCTCCAAGAGCAGCTGTTAACCTCCCAGCAAGGATGAGAACATGCATCTCATTTCCTGACACCATCCGCAGAAGCCCTTACCTCTACACTTGCACCACTGCAAGCCCTCAGCAGCTGATGATAAACACTTCCACATGTGGGGAAACATAAAACATAAGTAACAGAAAACATGCCCTCTTTGTTTCGGATGTGATGAACACAACTACCATATGATAATTCCCACCATGTGTCAGCTGCTTATATTTCACACCTCTCTTCCAGATTTCTCTGAACATCTCATTGCTCCTGTGCTTTGCTGCTAAGAAGCAGCTGTGTGTGAAGGTGCTTCCCATGGAAAGGTTGATTTCCTTCTCTGGCAATACATGGAGGCAGGTGCCAAGGGCACAATGACAGAGGAGAGTTACATTCACACACACTGTGAGAGGAGATGGTGGTGAAGTGTTTGGCCTGAAGTGATGGTGAAGTGTTTGAGGACCTCAGCTTCTGCTAGCTTTAGTTTACTGCATCTGGAAAGTTAACACTCTTGGAATACTGTTCTCGTTCCATAGGAAGGGGAACTGAAACACTAAGAAAGCGCTGGGAGTCATCACTGAGATCTCTTTTTACATATTTACTGTTTCCTTGAAGCCACGGACCCCAGAGGGGACACCTTTTTTTGTTTGTTTCTTTAGCAATGCTTCACTTACAAAGGCTGTTGTGCGTGTGTTTTGGCAGTGCTGATCCTTCTTCACATTACCACTGTTCTGAGACGGTTGTGTGCACTGAGGTGCTCAGTGGCTTCTAATCCCACAGATGATGACAGAAGTGCTAATTCGTGAAAATACATCTTAATTATCTCAAAATAAGGATTTCTGACTGAAAGATAGTGTGCATTCTTGTGAGTATGTGCCCCTAATTTTCTTTTTTTTTTTTCACAAAAAAATCACATATAAAAAGAAGAAATAATACTTGCCTGCATCCTAGCAGGTTTTCCTGCTTTGAGATCAATCAGTGCTTCTAAGTTACCTGGAGAATTTGCAGAAAGCTTCCCCTTGAAAAGCAAAGTAGAAGTCAGAATTTAAGGCAAGGAAATGGAAAGCTGCAGCCACATTTAGAACTCTACAAGTTTCCAGCCATGTAAATATTTGTGATAGTTCAAACATTTTCCTCTTCCCATCTGGGTGAAATCCTAGCTTAAAAGCTTAGGGGGGGTTTCACCCTAAAAGAGAGATCTGAATATAGCCTCCTGGTCAGAGCATTTACACGGAGAGTGTGTTCTTGTTCTCCTTGTTTCTAAATGCAGAGTTGAATAGGACTCGCTCATGGCAGGGAGGTGACACCACACTAATGGTTGCTCTGGAAGGTGGTTTGATTTTTACCCACTGTGTCAAACTGTTCTTGATGAGCCTGTTGCTGGAGATGGGTATAACTTTCAAGAAATGTTTTGGTTTAATTGAACTGCTGCTTTGTCACATTTCCCAAGCAGTTCTAGCTGCAAACACACCTAAAATGGGGAAAAAAAAAAATCTTTTATTTTAACAAGTAATTTTTTTATAATGATGCAATAGTTGCAAATTATAAACTTTGATTCTCTTTGGTCTCATATCTTGGGTATTGTTATATATAAAGTATTATATATAAATGTGTATAATAAATGGATATAAAGTATTCTTGGATACTGTGGAGCTGTTGGAGCGAGTCTAGAGGAGGCCACGGAGACGCTGTGAGGGCTGGAGCAGCTCTGCTCTGGAGCCAGGCTGAGAGAACTGGGCTGGGGCAGCCTGGAGAAGAGAAGGCTCCTGAAGGGGAGACCTCAGAGCAGCTCCAGTGCCTAAAGGGGCTGCAGGAAAGCTGGAGAGGGGCTTGGGACAAGGGATGTAGGGACAGGCCAAGGGGAATGGCTTTAACCTGCCAGAGGGGAGACTGAGATGAGCTCTTAGGCAGAAGCTCTTTGCTGTGAGGGTGCTGAGGCACTGGCACAGGGTGCCCAGAGAAGCTGTGGCTGCCCCATCCGTGGCAGTGTTCAAGGCCAGGTTGGACACAGGGGCTTGGAGCAAGCTGCTCTAGTGGAAGGGGTCCCTGCCCGTGGCAGGGGTTGGCGCTGGATGCGCTTTAAGGTCGCTTTAACCCAATCCACTCTGTGACTGTCGTTCCATGAAGCCTCTGCTAAGACAGGCGCTGCTCTGTTCTCATCCTGAACTGCCATCTAGCGGCACCCCTTCGGCTTGCTCCCTGGCCTCGGGCAACCAGGCCTGCCCCGAGCTGACGCTTACCCACAGCTCGCCTTGGCTCCAGCGACACCTTCCCCGACAGCAGCGGTCTGCTCCCCGGCCACTGAGGGCTCTGGAGGCGGCTCCTGAGGCACGGACCCGCCGCCATCTTGCGGGGTTAGACCTGGGGCTGCCAGGAGCCCGGCACAGGCCGGACTCAGCGCCCGCATTCCTACACACGGACACAAAGGCACTGGCTGGTGTCCCCGCATTCCAGAGCTTAGGATGGACGGCGGCGATGTGTCAGAGCCACCTCTCGCTCCCATCCGCTGCCGCGCGTTTATCCACGGTCCCTGCACCGCCCGTCGCCCCGCGCCGGCAACGCACCTCAGCGACGCTCCCTGGCCGAGATCGCGCCCGACCTCTCGCGAGAGCTGGCGGCTCTTCCCCGCTCCCGGCAGCCTTTGCGCTTCCTCTTTCCCCGCCGCAGCCTTGAGGTGAGGAAGCAATGGCGGCCGGGGCGCGCCCTCAATCCGGTCCCATCGCGGGCCCATCCCGCCCAGGGAGCCCATGGTGGGGCACAAGGGGTCTGTCCTTTTCCGGATGCCCGCGGTATTTGCGGGGTGGGACGGATGGAGGTGGCGGAGCGGGGGGTGTCTGGTGGTATGAGGAGGAAGCAGGCCTACGGGGGAGGTCGCAGCTGCGGTGATGATTTCCTTAGGACACCTTCGGACTTAACTGTGAAGAGTTAAGCGTAGTTTCTGAGCAGCGCCTGGGCATGAGGTGAACATTCTGCATGTCTGCGTTATAAGCTTAACACAGGTTATTTATAATGAGTTTTCTTTTGCAGTTGAGCAGCAAAGATGGTGCGCTACTCTCTGGACCCGGAAAACCCCACGAAATGTGAGTTGTAGAGGTTTTGTGAATGTTCGCGGGGCGGGGGGCTTTACTGAACCCATTATGGTTTTAATTCCAAAAAATGGTTTTATTTCTCCACAGCATGCAAGTCACGGGGATCCAACCTGCGAGTGCATTTCAAGGTATGCAGCATTCACATAGTAAAAAATGCAATGTTTGAGGGGGTTGTTTTTGGTAATTTTATTAGGTTTTCTTTCGAAATACATGTCTTACTCTTCCATATCTTTACGTAGTTACTTAGGGGTGGTAGCATAGGTTAGGGCCTGCGTTTGGTTTAACTGCATGTAGTGGTCTTCATCCACAGGATCAAAAATAAGATGGTGCGCCCTAAATAGCTTTGTATTATATATAGATAAAACGCAGTAGGGAAGCATCTGCAGGGAATTTAGCAGGAGGAACTGGGCTACTGAAACGTTCAAGTTAAGCTCAGAACTGGAGCTGAGGAGATGCTTTTCTGCTTGGTGTTACACAGAAGAGGGATTTTGCTCTTTTATTATCATCAGGTAGGAGTGTAGTTACTTTCTGATGGTCTTATTCAGTGCTGTCTGAAACACTGATGCTTTAACTTGATTTTTCTTCCTGGGCCTTCTCTCCTTTTAATAATTCTTTGCACAGGTAACTATGTAGTTTGGTGGTTCTTTACATGGTTTGTTAACTCAACACGTGCCTGAGGTGTCATGCTTGACATTTTAGTAAGGATTTATCCTTCAGGTGCTTTCTTTACTTGTGGGAATTAGTGGCAAAAGAGGAGTTCAGAAAAGCATAAATACTAAAATTCTGTTTTTTTCTGCTTGGAAAGATCGCGGTACAGGGTAGAAACCAATAAAGATGTCTCCAGAGCTGTAAGTTTAGTAGTGAAACTCATAACAGAGGTTAGAAGAGCAGGTAGTGAAAATAGTAACTATAGTGTTGCTGGTTATTTTACATTTGTGTGTGCGTGATGCTTTTAAACTGCGATTGTAGCAAAAGTAAGACCTGGGAAGCAGCAAGGAGTGCTTTTACCCACTTTATAACTTGGAAAGATGACATTAAAGTGAAGTTTGCTGTGCTTTGTGTTGCCAGAACACTCGTGAGACAGCCCAGGCCATCAAGGGCATGCACATCCGCAAGGCTACCAAGTACCTGAAAGATGTCACCCTGAAGAAGCAGTGCGTTCCTTTCCGCCGCTACAACGGGGGTGTCGGTAGATGTGCCCAGGTGAGGCCTGGAGTGAAACAAGGGGAGGAGGTATTTGGTTGATGGGAGGGAAGGACAGTGTGAGGAGCAGTCTGGTGATCTTAGTGGTGATGGGTGTATTAAAATAGAAAATAGTTCAATTACTTTGGTTGATGGTACCTTAAAGCTTATCAAGGACACTTTCCACTTGGCCAGGTTGCTCAAGAGAGAAAAGATTCACTCATATACTTAATTCTAGTACAGGAAGTGTTGCACATACTTACAGTGTCAAGTACTTGATGAAATTTAATTAGTTTGGTATCCCTTTAAGGCAATGTAATGGTGAGTTAACAGTGCATAAAGGGCAGGTAGTGTTATACTGGGACAAAGGTTCTGCCCCTTTCTTCTTCCCCCTACTCCCCCTTACTCTTCCTTTTTCCCATTTTTCCCTCCTCATTTCCCCCTCCTTTTTTTTTCCTGTTTTTTTTTTTCTTCTCTTTTTCCATTGCTTACTCTTCTTCCTCTTCCTTCAGGCCAAGCAGTGGGGCTGGACACAGGGACGCTGGCCAAAGAAAAGCGCAGAGTTCTTGCTGCACATGCTCAAAAATGCGGAGAGCAATGCTGAGCTCAAGGTGGGTATTACAGACACAGAGCACTTGTGTCAGGTTGTGTGGCTGTGCGCCCCAGCAAGGTGGAGCAAGTGTGGTTTAGTGCTCCTATAAACTACAAACCAAAGCAAAATCTTGGGGCAGTTTTTACCTTCGTGACATTAATTTGGGAAGTTTGATGGCGGTGATGACGTATCTTAGGACACCTTTGGAGTACCTGTGAAAAAATGCTAAGTTTTTTTTTCTGAGCCATCATCATTTTTTGAGGTATCTTCTTCCATATCTCTGTATTTGTTTTCTGGTTATATTTATGTGTATCCTCTCCTAAATCTGTTGTGGCACATGGCAGTGCAGTCTGGTTTTCTGACTTAATGTTGGTGCTTCCTTGGCAAGCAACCAGTACTGTGGCATCACCAGGTTCAGCTGTTCCTGTTTTCCAGCACCAGCATGCACGGAGGAGTGGTTACTCTCATTTTTTGTGCAGAGATGATGGATGTGAAGAGGAAAACCCAGTGACAGGTTTAATTTCTTCCTTTGCCCAGGGTCTTGATGTGGATTCTCTGGTCATCGAGCACATCCAAGTCAACAAGGCCCCCAAGATGCGCCGGCGCACCTACAGGGCGCACGGCAGGATCAACCCCTACATGAGCTCCCCCTGCCACATCGAGATGATCCTTACTGAGAAGGAGCAGATTGTCCCCAAGCCGGAGGAGGAGGTTGCTCAAAAGAAAAAGGTACCAAGCGTCATACCCGTGTCACCATCCAGGGATGGGAGGGTTGGTGCACTGTCGCTTGCAGCGGAACGGGTTGCTGTGATGATGATCTTAGGACACCTTTCGAACAACTGTGAAAAAAAATTCCATGCCAATTCTGAGCGACCTCATTGTTTACTGTAGATGCAATGTTGAGAAAGAGGGAGATGGCTTCGCTGAGGTCTCTCTTACGGGAATGGTTTGTGCTGCTCTGCTGGAGCAGAGTGTTGTGGTGAAATTGTAAGTTGAGTTGACACTGTCTAGGTGAATTAATACTTGTTAGGACACTTACATAACAGTATGGTAAATACTGTTAAAACACGAGTGCAGGTATGATCGATGGGTGGTTTTGTGAACAGGGGAAGGAATCCCTTGCAATTCCAAGAATTTGTGCAAGGGGTGGCTGAGAGGGGAACTGTAGGCTCCTGTTCTCACTTTCTCCATTCCCTCTTTGTTTTCCAGATCTCCCAGAAGAAGCTGAAGAAGCAGAAGCTCATGGCTCGGGAGTAAGCATGCTGCCGCTGGTGTACAGAAATAAATACTATAAACTCCAGTGCTTTGGCTCTGTGTGTCTCAGCCTTTGTGGGGAAGGGTGTGGGGGGGTGCTGTCTGTCTGTCACGGGTTCGGCCCTTAGCCCTGCCCTCTTTGTATTCCTTCAGCCGTGGAGGTGATGGTGCCGTGCGGGCGTTATTCACCCATAACCGAGTTAATTAACCGGGATAATTAACGGGGGCCACGTACCGTCGTCAGTGTGCGGCGCAGCGCGCAGGCGCTTCTCAAGGGGCGGGGCAGTACCATGTGACCATATACGCCGCCACTTCCCATTGGCGGTTGCGCCGACCGGACGTGCGGGGCCGCTTCCGGTGCGGAGGCTGAGGCGGTGGCTGAGGCGGCCGGTATTGGAGCTGGGCTGGGGCCCGCTGAGGTGAGTGCGGGCCCGGCCGGACACCGCCGGGGCTGCGGCTGCGGCTGCGGCTGCGGCTGCTCCCCCGTTGGGCCCTTCGTGCCCTGCCTCCATCCCGGCTGCACGGGGGCTCGCTGCTCCTCTGCGTTAACCGGGTGTATCCCGGCGTGCCCAGCTCTTGCTGAGGTGTGGAGCGCTTCGGTCTGAACGCTCCTCTGAGGAGCTTCACCGAGTCGGGAAGGCCCCGCTCTCCAGGCTTTACGTGCACTGGGATGGGCGGAAACTACTGCACGGAGCGGGAGGGCTGTGCTGGCCACCGAGGAGTGCTCCGGGGCTGCAGAAACCGGAACGTGTTGTGTGATTCGGCCCTTCTGGACTGGCTCATCCTCTGTGGAAAAAGAAGGAAAAACCTTACCTTTTGTCTGTGCACCCTTGCTTTGTTTCCATAATAGTTAATTAACAACCGAGTTAAACATGCAAAACAAAGACCATTTGAATTTGCCATGTCATGCATGTTCTTTCTGCTGACCCTAATGTGTGTGTGTGGTACAAAAGCTTGTATCACAAAGAGATCAGCTAGCTATTAAAATGTGACCATTTGCCCTATTATTCTTTTTTTTTCCTCTAAAAATTACCTGCTAACCAGGCCACAGAGCACCACCAAGCAGAAGAACCTCATGAACGGAACTTTGGTATCTTAGGACCAGTGTTACGCTTCCAGAGGCCTCCTTTTCCATCTGGTACAGGTATGATGTACTTTTCAGCTGGTATCTTGACATGAAGTGGCTCCAGCGAACTCTTGCTGTTGCCTCGGGGGCAGGCTGAGTGTTCCCTTCAGGCACGCTTGTTAGCTGGTGGATATACGTGCAATACCCTGCTGGAAATTTGGTATCTGGCAGAGGGAGTAGCTGAAGTGTCTTTTTGAATGGCTTTCAGAAGCCATTCAATGTTCATTCACATTGTCTCATATTTCTGGTTTGGGGAGAGAGGAGGATTTATTGTGTGATAGTTCGTCTGATGGTACAGAATTAGTGTGGGATAAAAGGGATTCCACCAAGTGCGAGGTTCTGCCCCTGTGTTGAGGCAGTCCCAAGCACAAACACAGGCTGGAGAAGACTGGATGGAGCAGCCCTGAGAAGCACTTGGAGATGCTGGGTTAGGAGAAGCTCCCCATGACCTGACTTCAGTGAGCGCTTGAGCCCAGAGCCGCCCCATGGGCTGGGCTGCACCCCCAGAGCGTGAGCAGCAGCTCAGGGAGGGGATCCTGCCCCTCTGCTGCGCTATGGGGAGACCCCCGCCCCCCCCCCCCACCCTGTAGTCCTGATCCAGCTCTGGGGCAGCAGCACAAGAGGGATGTGGAGCTGTTGGAGCGAGGCCAGAGAAGGCTACAGAGATGCTGCCAGGGCTGGAGCAGCTCTGCTCTGGAGCCAGCCTGAGAGAGCTGGGCTGGGGCAGCCTGGAGAAGAGAAGGCTCCTGAAGGGGAGACCTGAGAGCAGCTCCAGCGCCTGAAGGGGCTGCAGGAAAGCTGGAGAGGGGCTTGGGACAAGGGCCTGTAGGGACAGGCCAAGGGGAATGGCTTTAACCTGCCAGAGGGGAGACTGAGATGAGCTCTTAGGCAGAAGCTCTTCCCTGTGAGGCACTGGCACAGGGTGCCCAGAGAAGCTGTGGCTGCCCCATCCCTGGCAGTGTTCAAGGCCAGGTTGGACACAGGGCTTTGGAGCAAGTTGCTCTAGTGGAAGGTGTCCCTGCCCATGGCAGGGGTTGGAACTGGATGGGCTTTAAGGTTCCTTCTGACCCAAAACATTCCATGGTTCTATGATATCATCCTTTTCTCAAGCCCTGACTAGGATTCTGTTACACTTACCCACCTGTCTGCCCTTCAGTAGCAGCAAACTGTTTGATAGACCAGATTCCTGCCATTTAGTTTCACTTTAAGTCAAAAAGGAATGAGAAAACCAAACCTTTTGGCCCCTCTGATTCAATATAGTAAGGAGTGAACTGTTAGCTGCAGCTTATTTTTCAACTAGTTTTGTGTGGTTTAAGCAAGAACTTTTCTGTATTTTTTTTTTTTCCTAAGTTTCTGCTATGGGACTGATGAATTAATAGCAAATCTTTTCTTTTTTTGTAATGCCAAGAATGTTTGTCTTGTTGAGAACTTTATAACATTGTAATGCACAGCATTTTTGAATCCAGAACAATAATTAAGAATCTAAGGTTAAAGGATTTTATATCTAAAGTGTCTTTCATACATGAATGTCAACTACAGTCTTTATTTATTAAAGACTGTTTTCTTATCTCACAGCATACAACCTTGTCATCCTAAGTTGTTTTTCTTTTCTCCTCTCCAGCTTTGTCACAAACAAGAGGAAGCCATGGTGTGCATTCCCTGTATTGTCATTCCTGTTCTCCTCTGGGTCTACAAGAAATTCCTTGAGCCCTATATCTATCCTGTTATTGCACCTTTCGTGAAGCGCGTATGGCCCAAGAAAGCTGTGCAAGAAACAACAGCCACAAAAGAAGGTCAAGGAGGCAGCACTGGAAATCCAAGGGCACCTTCAGCCACGAAAAGAGATCAGGAGGATGACTCTGGAATTTATAAAGTAAGATTAATGCATTCAGCTAGCTGGGGATTAAAAGCGCCTGGTGATAGTTCAGGGTGGGTGCCACAGAAGAGTAAACGGTTGTTGTTATAAGTGTTTTTATGGCTATTTTCTTAGCAAAGAGAGTTAGTGGTAGAAATACAGCTAGGGATACTTGCTTCAGCTATTTGGTAGGTCTTGGAAGGATGTGAAATGCACCTGTTTTGTGAAACAGCTTAGTTAATTTGTTATTTTTTTAAATGACTGGCTATTCTTTGAGAGAAGGAGAAAGTCAAATAACGAGTACATCACACCGGATACATGAAGCAGAACTAAAAAACCCCTCCTCAGACAGCTCTTTCACTTGTAATGTGGGAAGATGTTTGGTGTGTGTAAATTGTGCGTTTATTATTTATCTTCTCTAACAAAATGCAGAGATTTGCGTCTGTTATCTCTGCCGTTTTTCCCTCTTGAAGCAGTAATGATATGTAAATCTAAAGAGAAGCCTCTGTCCCAGTTCTTGCTGCAGATTTCTTTAGGATCTCCCCTGGCCTTGCTTCTGAAAGCCATTTCCATCACCAGCTGTTATTGTTCCAGGTGCAAAGTCCTTTTTTGACATCCCATTAATGATGCTGTCTTTTATTTGCAGTTTGAAAGCAATGGCGTTGCAAATGGAATTGCTGCAAAAAGATCCACAGAAGTTTCTGACAAGAAAGCGGATTAGAGGAATTAATTAATAATTTATTCGCTTGTGTCCAATATGAACTGGTAATATTGCTCCCACTTTGAGACATTTTTCTTTGCACGTTTTAGCTGAATAAACTCCCCTTATGACTCACAGGAGAAGGTCTCTTTCGCCACTCAAACTCAAATGGCAGCTAGCACATTTCTAAATTTAAAATGTTTAAAAAACTGAAGTTCTTTGTTTTCCTCACTGGAACTACTTTTCATCTATAATTGATTTGGTGTGATTAGAGTTTAGGTTCAGTAACTTACGACTAAGTCAAGCTTTGGAAGATAAATTTATCTTAACATCTTAGTTTCATTAACTGCTAGTGCAGTACTTCAGGCTTTCAAACTAGAGCTGCTCTTGCTTGCTAAAGAGCCATGAATTGTATTGCGGCAGAAGCATCATCGTTAAGAGTTTAGATTTTTCATGTTAAATCTGTGGATGAGCTAAAGGAATGCTACATGCAGAATTTACTTAGCTTGCTAAAGCAGAAAGTCTTGATTTCATACTTCCATTAATTGTTTTCCTTGAAACACTGTGCCTTTCTTTCCTGAAGGGGAGCAGCAGGGGCACGATGCAAGGAAGTTGTTGCATTGTATTCTGTTGCAGTGGTTTAAAATGGTGCAGTTCTGTCTTAAAAAAAACCTAAACAAGCAAACATCCAACTAAAATCTCTTCAACGTGCTTGTGGAAGTTGAATGATAATAAACCAGGATTTTATTTGAAAGTAAGTTACTTCATACAGTTGTTCTTAGGCTTCTGAGCTACAAATATCTAAAGTCATAGCAAAATCTTTGAAAACCTGGAGACAGGCTGCAGGCTGAAGGAGAACATAAGACTACTGAGTTTGGAATAGAGAAAGTGAATTAGTGAGGTCCAGCTTTACCTCTTCCTTGGAAGATATGTTTCGGA